GAGACAGTTCTGCTCATGGTTATCTGGAAAGGCCTTCACGCTGCATGCATGGAAACCACATATAGCTTACCTAATCATGTTGTGTCCCCACAATATCCTATCTGCATAGTTTTATTTCAACACATTTTGTGTCATGTGTGCCAACATTCCTCTGATGTATTGACCATTGTTTCTACTTGCAGGCTAGCTACGAAAAATGTCAGGGCCGAAGATAAGCATAGAGACGCCTCAAGAGAATCAGATATTTGAAATAACTTATGATGGAAGGGAAATTCCTCAGCCGTAAGTTAATCCACTTCACTTTGCTGAGCCTTCTTCTTTTATTCAAAGTTCACCACATTTCCATGATAGCTATTTGAATAAGCACTATGATTGTTGTCTTTTCATTACCTATTGTCTTATTTTCATTATTTGTCACACTTGTAAGTTTTGACCACTTGTTGTCCCTTTACCATAGGCTCTTTCCACTTTGGTTAAACTTAAGCATGTAATTCCTTATCATCAACTCATCTTTCTCAAAACAATAACCTTTGGTGTGTCATCATAGCATTCAGATTTCAGTTTTGTCAGGTATAAGATATACCTAATCCTCACCATTGTCAGTATTCACTCTTCACAGCAGTGCATTATCCTTCCAGTGTAAACGCTCTTCTTTGAGCTTCCTGTAAATTTTTTCCTTGCAGCTGTTGCATAATACATGCGTAATACCGCCCCTCAGTCCATGTGCCCCCCCCCCCCCCACACCAGGCCGCTCTCCATGTCGGAGAACCTGGCGCGACTGGCGGCCAAAATCGACTGGAGTCGCTCGGACGGCGAGGAAGACGGTGACGAGGCGGCCCCGAGCAGCGCCGAGGGCGACGGAGACGCCGACAGCCAGGTCACCACCTTCCAGCAGCCCACCTGGCCCTGGGAGAGCGTCCGAAACAAAATACGGTACGGGGACGGACCTAAATACGGTACGGGGATGTAGCGACCGTAATGCTTCAGTGGTGGTGCTGATCGCCGGATGAACGTTATGCATGGATCGACTAGAATGATGTTGTTCGTTTGGGTCACGAAAAACGTTTAAAGTTTTCTGCAATGCTTTTTGCATTTGTAATGTAAAGAACGTCGAGTGCAGCAGTACTTCCGTTGCATTACTTTTTTCACTTTCTTGTTTATTTGTACATCTTTCAATGCATTCGTTTACAGACCTTTGGATGTGTTAACATGCACTTACATTGTTTACACAATCCCGCTTCCTGCAAGCGGCGGAAACTGGTTTACAGGGGTCACGTGTGACCATTACGTTTGGTGACAGCGATGCACACTTTACAGTGCACTCGAAGCGCCGCGACCGACGGGATTCCGTTGCATTACTATTTACTGGTTACTAAGCATATGACATTTCTACTCAGCAAATGTTCTTACAAAAATGTGGGTAAAAGTTTGTACAAGATATGAAACTTGCTTATACTATTTGTACTAACTTGTACTAGTTGAACAGTCAAAGCCTCGCCATCTTCTCCATGTCTTATATCCTCAACCGCCAACACCGTTAGCGTCACCTCGCATGCCACCCCCTCACCACCTCCCCCAGGGACGCGTACACGGAGGTCTGCGTGCTCTCGGACGTGCTGAGTATCGCGCGCCACAAGCGGTACATGGTGCTGGACGGCGTGACCCAGGACGCGCCCGAGCCCAAACAGATCATCCAGGTCATCAGCAAGAAAAAGGTGAGACCGTGATGTGATCATCTGAATGTTTGGTTAGAGGTAGTGACGTCCCCCATGGGGGAAATTGTAATGGAGGTCAGATAAATCCGCTGTTCTCGTAGTCTTTTCGATATCAAACTGCAATCTGGTCGAAGTCAAACCAGTTGAGATACCCGTTAAAATGTTCTGTTTTTCCGCAGTTTCTGCTCTGGTGTTATTGTTTTTGTTAATTATTGTTTCCTTCGACTCATCAATGGATTTTGCTGACGACTATACCATGCTTCTTTCATGGGGCAGGGACTGGCGGCGGCTGCGCAGATTTTGAGCGAGGGTGCCGAGCGGATGCGGGAGAATTTGGCGGAGCAGAGGCGAAACCGCAACAACAACGACTTCTACACGGAGCTGCTGCGACTAAGACAGAAGTGGAGGCTTAGGAAGGTCGGAAATAACATCATCGGCGACCTCAGCTACAAGCAGGGTACGTCCAGAGGCGGCAGTGGTGGTCTCATGTTGTCATTTCAATATTCAAATAAGGCTTAGCATGTATGGATTTAGCGCAACATCAAGCTCTGATTTTGACTACTCGGTACGGAAACAATCAGCTTTTTGTCGACCTAGATGTATAAAAGTTATGTGACTGGTTCATGCATGCTCTGACTCAGTCTCGGCAACTGGCTAAAAACTCCTGTTCCACCGGTCTCAGCTCTGCACCACACCGGTGTCGGTCCTAGCATTAACCGTCACCCCCTCCCCCCGCTATGCAGTGGGCTCGCGGTTCTGGCTCTCCGGCACGTTCGAGGTGAAGAAGGCCGAGGAGAACGCTCCGGCGCTGCCCCCGCCCGCCCCGGGCCTGCCGCCCGTGCCGCCGTCGCCCATCATTGTTACCGTGCCCAGCGAGCTGCAGGGGGCCGCCTTCATCTACGTCACAATCCGGAAAGGTGCGTAGCGATACTTATTCATGTATATCAGAAACATTGAATGGTGTGGTAGCCGTGAATGGCCGTGGTTTTTAGTTGTTCGTTTGACATATTTTTGATGCATTGTCTTTAAAGGGCATATCCCGTGGTTTTTCGTATCGTTTGGACGGTCAGTTTTAATGCTGCTCGAACGGAGAGGCTGCCTTGCCATTTGTACATACGACACGAATGTACTGAGGCACGGGTAAACTTACCACTAAATTCTACTCTCAAAAATGAAATTTTTATGTATTGAAGCGAATACGACACTGAGTTTTCCCCTCCTGCTGCCTAGCGTGCTGACTGGACCCTCTCCTCCCTGTCTGTCCACAGATCAGGAGACGCTGTGCTCGGCGCGTCTAACCCACCCCGGCAGCACGCCTCTGCCCGTACCCCAGTCCCAGCACTGGAGCGACCGGCTGGACGCCGCCCAGAACGTGCTCTTCTGCAAGGAGCTGATTGCTCAGCTGGCGCGCGAGGCCGTCCAGCTGCAGCCCCGCCTGCCTCACATGGTCATCGGCAACGAGATCACCTCCACCATCTTCCCGGGCATTCACCTAGTGATGGGTCTGGCGCATAGCGCGCGGCCGGAGCGGCGGCCGGCCGCCGCGCCGCTGCCGCCAGTGCCGGCCGGCCCGCTGGGGGACAATAACTACGTGCTGGAGCACTCGCTGCACCAGCTGCTGCGGCACATGCACCACCGTAACATGCACCACGCTATGCCGCACCCGGCCTCGGCGCCCATGGGCATGAGCAAGAGGAGGCGACAGGCGGGACCGGGCGCCGCCTCGCGGGGACAGCTGCTGAAGATGGTGGAAAGGTAGGTGGCAGACGAGCTGGGCATGCGGGGATGGCCGGTTGGTATAGGGTGCTTTCTGAGTCAGGGCCAAGCCGGAGGATGAGATAAAGCATTGCTCAATGCTCATTCATTTGCTTTGGATGCGATCGCTTTCCAGTGACGTGGTTTGATGCATTTGATAATTTGTCAGTGGTTTAGGTGTCCCTTTACCATCAAGGCTAGTTTCTAGTCTCAAATAGCCTCTGCAAGTTGTATGATCGAGATCAGGCTGCTTGGCTAGATAGCTACCACTATCCATAAGCTACCAAGTGACCATAAGCCACCAGTTCTTTCATTGTAACCTCTGACCGTCCTTTCCCGTCCGTCACCCAGTGAGACGCTGCTGGAGAGTATCATCCGCCAGGCGCGCCACGTGGTGCTGCGCATGCGCACAGCGTTCGCCATCGACAGCTGCGCGCGGGAGATCAAGGACCCGCTGATCGTCACTCACTGGAACTCGGTCAACTCGCCCACTCAGTCCTGCTGTAAGGTAAATGAACTCACCAACTCACACAGACAGTTGTGTTGAAGGGGAGTTTCCAACTCACACAGCCAGCCTTACCGGTCAGCCGATGGTCAAATCACTAGTTCACCCATGCAGCTTTACTGTAATGTAGATGATTTGATGATACTTCTCGTACAAAGTCTGACGCATTTGTCATGAATTGATGTCTTACGTCGGCCGGCTTCTCTGTCATTTAATATGTGGCGATCCCTTGTCTATGGCTCTGCCTGCTGACCCGACCCGTCTACTAACCACACCTCTTCCCCGTCAGGTGAACATCATGACACACGGCTACGACTCTGTCCACCGGACCACTTTCCTCATTAACGTCCTGGAGGACTCTCTGCGCTGTGTGTGCCGCGACGGTCGCGTGATGACCGTCAGCTACGAGACCTCCGAGCTGCACTACATCATACTGTGCCAGGTGGGAAAGACTCTGTCAGGTGGGAGCAGCATCATACTTTCAAGTGGGAGCTGTGCACAGGTCTCATACTGAAGGTTCGGAGTCCAACTTGACAACGATTAGTTCATGAGGTGGCCAAATTTACAGCTGTCGAGCTATGCGCATTTGGGGTTACATGCTTACTGTTCAGCGCCTGGCTCATGTAAAATGCCGATGGTAACCCGATTCCCGAGTGCATATCTACAGGGTGATTCATAGCCATGTGACCTATTTAGTTGATCTCTCTTGAGAAGAGGATTGCATATTTTCGTGTGAAATTTCACGTGCTAGTAGAAAATTTTATGAAGTTTTGTTCTATCTTGGTCTGGTCTGTGTGTATCGCTCAAGATGTACACAGCGCAGCAAAAAGTAAAAATGTGTAATTTGTATAGGTTAACGCAGTCCATCAAGCAAACACAAAGATGTTTCTGCACGTCTGAGGGCTTGCACCCAAGTGAAACTCCAAAGAAGATAACAAAGTCATAGAATCGTTAATCAATTCAAAGCAGAGGGCACGGTTCATTGTCAAACACGGCACACAAAAAAAAATGGTAAGCGAACCCCGGAAAGTTGATTTCAAAGAGCGCTGAGGTCAGGTGGGCGCCACGCTCGCCGGAGCTCAGCGTCGTGGAATTCTTCCTCTGGGGCTATGCAAAGTCCGAGGTCTGTGAGGAGAGTCCTCAGGATATTCTGGGGCTGAAGGATGCCATTGGAGGCTGCTTTGGTTCTATTTCCTTAGAAATGTTGTGCGTCCGCGCCATCGCCAACTTTAGGCTCTGGCGCTGGAGTGCATCCGTCGCCGAGGTGGCCATTTTGAACATCTTGTTTAAAAGAAGCTTGTGAGAGGCGAACGAAAAGTATTTGTGACTGATGCTATACATGGATCAAAACTTCAGATTTGGCTGTTTAATATGGTACTTGGCAATGGCATGTAACACGAATGCATTTCCTGTAGTTTTCATTTATTTTCGGTCACACGGCTATGAATCACCCTGTACATTGACTAACCACCTCTCTCGCTGCCCCGTCTCTGCACAGGTCTCTCAGCATAACCTGCTGGCCGCCCAGTCCCTGGGCCGTATCATGGGCTGGACGGTGAAGAGCAGCAGCAGCGGACAGGGCGGCGGCGGCGGCGGGGGATCAGACGCCTCACAGACGGCCCAGTCGGGCGGCGGCGGGGCGGCCTCCTCCAGCTGCGTCCTCTCGGCCCCCGGCGGACACTGTTACGTGGCCGTCCGCTGTCAGCCCCACGGCGAGCCGGTCACTGTCAGTGTGGCCCAGTCGCCCAAACGGGACTTCTTCCCCACGGCGCTGGTCACCGAACACAAGTGGGAGCATCTCGGAGGAGCCTTCCGACAGGTGGGTGATATGGGGAGGAAGGAGAGGGCGCAGCGCGAGGGTGGTGTGTACGCTGATTGTGTTATGATTGGTCGGATAGTTCCTAAATCGCGCGGTTGCTGCGTTGTTTTTGACTGTGTCGAATGCCATCTGTAGTACCAAGACCAAGTAGTAGTTGGCACTCCATCAGCTGCAGTGCCAACTAGTACCAAGTGTTATTGACCAATACCTGACGAGTGACGTTGTCTGTCTCCACAGATCAAATGGGAGAAGATGGAGGGCCGCAACTTTCTCAACAAGATGGAGCTGCTGATGGCCAACCTGTCCAGCGGCACCGGCAGCATCATGTGACCTCACACGTTTGGTCATCACTATATCACGTGACCTGTCCTTGTGTGAACGGCGAGCATTCGGAACAATCACATGATCGCTCGCGGAAGTAGATGGACTGGGGTGTCACGCGATGTTCTCTTCGCTTGGGTTCGCGCCTTCCACACAGTTAGGACGAGGTAGGACGATCAGCCGGGTCAACGGCTTTGTCCGATGCTGTCGTTCTGCGTGGTCACTGCGTTATCAAAGCAAGCCCTCGCAGGCGTCACCTGAGTATTCGTGCTTGGTATCGCCGTCCTCAGGGGGTGGTCACTGACTACGTGACTCCTGTCCTGATGAGTGATGAAGGACCGTAATGCATGGCCCGTCATCCCTGGTTAACGTGCATCACGTGACCTGTGAAGTGTACAATTCTTGGGGTGGGGTTGGTATTGGATAAAACACGATCAATCGTGTGATCTAAAACATGTACCGCATTGAGTGTTTTTACATCGCATGTGTTAACATTTTGAGTATCTTGGTTTTGTGTGAAGTGTTTGCAAAAATGTCCTAAAGCGATAAGGTGGTTTGTTGTTTGGTGTCGCATCATTCGACACCAATAAACGATATGTTTGTAGCAGGGCACTAAAGAGTCTAAAGGTTTGTAGAAACGTCTTGATATTCCGTACAGAAACGCCACATTCATACACCACGAGTCGCGTGGAAACGGCCAGTCGCGAGCTCTTTACACCCGAGACTACACCTCACAAGGCACCGATACTCAGCGGCCACCGACACAGAACAAAACAGCAGCGAAACAGGCAGTCGCGTCGGCTCCGCGCCGACTGAGTAACAGAAAGGTAACGCACGCAGCGCGTCCGGGCCCATACGAACAGAGGCCCTCACAAAACAACAGAAACACTCCATCGAGCACAACATACGCGACTGTCAACACGCGTCACACACGCACCAATGACTTGCCGTAGCTGCCCTGCGGCGGAAGGCCCGAGATCCGCCCGAGTCAGAGACACTCCTCGCCGCAACGTCAAACAAAAGTCTCACTCGGCTGTATCCGCCATAGGGCGTCGTCTCGAGGCATCAATCACTCGGTAATTGCACTACGGTTACGCGGCACTCCGGGCTGGGTGGCGTAAGTTCGCTGCCCGTCAGAAGAGCGCAAAGTCAGGCCGCAACGGCCGCGTTATAGGAGACTCAGATGGGCGCTGGCGGCGCTTCCCATTCATAAAGCACCGGGTTGTTCATCGCCAGAGCTCCGCAGCTTCAATAACACCAGCGAGCGAGATGCTGTATGCCCACTTCCGCAAGGCTGCCGAGTCCACTAGGGCATGAGTGTCCTCTTCAAAGGCAAACACTTAACACACCACTGCGAGGAGCTTATGACTGGTTGCTGGCTGGAGCAGCTGTCCGCAGGAAGCGTCTTGGCTTTGAGTGAAGATCACTGCCAGCGCAGAAGCGTTTTGCCACCGCGCTTCATCTTGGATAGATGTCGCCACTGACGGCCGTCACTACGCAAAGTTGACGTTTTGGACGAACCAGGAGAGCACCAGCGAGAACTGTACTCCCGAGCAGACGCCCGTGACGAGCGCGGCGGCGCCGAACATACCGGCCGTGGAAGCAAACTGCGGCTCCACCGTCCTGTGAGGACAGAGATAAAGGACGGTTAGGGGATGGTGATGGTTTGGCTAACGGAGGCAGAAACCGCAAATTCAATGTAGAACAGATAATCTATCAAGTTAACGGAGAGTCCACATGGATGCCAGCTCAAAACGAAATCATGACAGCTTTGGAATTAAATGGATTGCAACTTTTAACTCTGAGCTCTATCATTAGCTTCATCCCCACAACCCACATATCCGTTATCTACGTTCATCGATTACATCGACATATTTTGCGCCCTGTCCAGTTCCACTAACAATCCGTATCCCAGCATTACCACACTCTTCAGCATACATCCATCCTGACCCCTCCGCCCCGCTCCCACCGTCTGACTGACCTGGGACAGTACATCATGCCCAGTGACGAGAAGTATCCCGAGCTGAGTCCAAGCAGCACCACCATGCCCCAGTAGGCCCAGTCGTTGTTGATGTAGACTGGCGTCACTCGCTCCACGTGCACCGGCAGGTAGTTGCAGAGCACGAAGTAGGGGATGAACGCGAATCGCAGCACCACCGGCAGCCACAGCCAGCGCGGCGTCGGCTGACGAGACAGAGCGGGGCCGGTTACAGAACAGGTCTGGGGTGCGTGTCAGGGGTTTGAATGAGTCAGAACTGGGGGGGGGGGAGGCGGTGGGGGGGGGGGGGGGGGTATTAGGGGATGCAAATGTCAGGATGCTCTAAAACGGAGGAAGGCAATCATAGGACAAAGCCTCACGCATCGAATACGATAACACCAACAAAGAATAAAATGCGAATATGTCAACGACCACCGATGATTAATGCTACGTGTACAATCGTTATTCACTTCACCGTGCCAAGACTTTTGAGATAACTCCCGAATACCTGACATTTGACAGCCCGAGCAATTACGTTATCAACGCTCATCGTTCACAGCGATAGGAGCTGATGGCTAACAAGGCAATCATCAGCACTCAGAGACAGTCTGACATCTCGCTACAGCCCGGTGCCAAGAGCTACCGATAGAGAGGCAGGGCAGGGGTAAGAGTAGAACCAAACCGGTGCCGCTCGCTGCACAGGACTTACCATCACAAACAGATTGGGCATCAAGTTGCCCAGCATGGCCGTGAAGTTGAAGGTGAAGAAACACAACACGGCAGCAAAGTACTGTTTCGGCACGAAGAAGTCCTCGTCAACCATGTTGATATCTGGATGGGAAGAAGAGACAGATGTTAGATTATTGACGGCGAGACATGAGCTCTAGCGGGGGGCATCCCGGTGACCCATATGTTGGAGGCGGGAAGAGGTTGAAGAGAAGAGCGCATTATGGTCAGGAGTTTCCCCAACTCGATATACAAGGAACCGATGACAGACGTTTCTATCACCGTATATACTGGAGCGATACCAGCGAAGAACATAAGGCCAACAGCGAAAAGAAACTGGGAAGCATAGGCCAAACAAACGAAAGCCAAAGGTGATGGCGTCGAGAACAGACGTCCTCGTCCAGCTTAAGCACGATTAAAACCCATCCTGGCCTCGGGCTGAACACTTACATACTTATTAAACAGCTTTGGCTTTTTCATCATAACCACATCACTTGACAGATGATCTGACATTCCATAAAAAAACAACCCACCCACCAGACCAATCCCCGGGACCCCTGACCTTGGCCTGCGTTGTCACTGACCTGCCAGCACCGTGGGGAACACGGACAGTGTGACGAAGAAGACGAGGAACACGTTCAGCAGCTGTGGGAACGCCTTCTTGAAGATGTGCCAGTAGGGCACGGCGGTGGATGGACCGTGAGCCTCACTGCCCGCCCGCAGCGACTTCAGCTTGTGGTACCGGTAGAACCTCTGAGACAATAGAACAAGCAAATCGAATTAAAGAACACGATGGGAGGTGAAAAGGAATATGACCCACCTTCCAAACCATATGCCATGGTGTCATGAGCCGTTAGAGGCAGTACATTTATGTTAGACAACAGACAAAACTCATTCTCGATTGCAGTTGTTGCAGTCCAAGTTATGTAATATGTTGGCTCAAATCATCACAACTTCGAAGTTCGAACATGTACAAACTCAGCTGTAGGTTCACCTTACACAACTCAAACCTTTTCCGTCAACTCAAAGCTAAATCTTAGGCCAATTACACTGAGTTTAGTGCCAATCTACTCTGCGTTTCTCGTAGGCTCATGTTGAGTTTCTCACGCTGAGCGGCAAGGCGAAGTAGGTGTCGAAACAGGCGAGCAGAATGAACAGCGCCGTTATGAAGTAGTAGATCGCAGCAGTCCGCGGGTTCGGTGCCATCGCGATCGACAGGATCTTGATCAGCGCCGTCACCGTGCCGCTAATGTTCTGTCAACGGCAGGGGTCAGAGGTCAGGTCACGAAAGGTCACATGTCCGTCAGGTGTTTGGTTTGCTGTCTGGCCCATCAAGACAAATGTTTACCATGAACGTGGATGTCACCAACGTGTCTAGCATGATTAGTGTGTCAAAAATGCACACTACCCCAGTCCAACATGTGTATGGGTCCATAATTCAGCACGAGTTAAAATTGTGTTCATGGCTGAAATCTATCTGGATATTTATCTAGCTAGCGTACGTCAGCATCCGTCAAACGACGTTCCTCCTCTACTGAAAACACACACCCCACACTCAGCCCATCCTTTCCAAGGCGGAGACACACATCAATGAACCCCAACTCCGCCCCCGTCTCGAGCCCAACATTCCATCGAGCCCAACATAACGACCTGCGGCCTAGCCTTCAAGTCACGTGACCGGAATAAGACGAACGCTGCGCAGACGAAAACTGACGAGCCGTGTCGTCCAGAACAGACTATGTCACGGGTCGGTAACTTAGGGAGGGTTCACCAGCAGCTGGTGCGCGGGGGGCGTCATCACGAGAATTAGGGCGTCAACGGGTCACGTGGGGCGCTATGACGCGCGCGAGATGACACGGCACGGATGGCTGAGAGGTTCTGGTCTTACCGATCCGAGCACCACGGCTCCCGTGTAGCGGAAGGGAAGCCGCGCCGCCAGGCCGTATACGGAGTTCTGGTAGATGCCGTTCGCCACTGCGGAAGAGAGAGAGAGAGGGAGAGAGGGTTAGAAGGAGGCAGCGAGAGGGTTAGGGAAGAGTCTGTCTAATAAAGTTCTATCCAAAACACGAGCAGAACGAGGCTACGCCTGATGAGATTTGCAGGAGCTCATTCGAATGAGCCTCTTCTAGCCCGGTTGGGTACTCTTTTGTGATTTATATCTATTACGGGGACGTCCCTGGAAAACAATTCAGCCGAATGAGTTTCGAACCAATTTCTTATTGTTAAGTTCCTTTCACCCTGAGTTAGCCCCGCTAGACAAGAAACCAAGTCTTGTGATTACGACAAAACTACGAGTACCAGACCTCATCGTTAGTATGTGCATACATCAGTCGGAAAACATACATCTAGTGTATCTTGTCTCACCGAATGTATTTGTTTATTCCGTTGCATATATGCAATCGATGGTAGCTCAGCAACAAGCCTAGATCGGTGTACCACGGCGTTACCTACAGCAACACTAGTGCACCTCAGTAGCGATCACTGGCCCAAACGTGATCGCTACTGCACTTTGGTAAAATTTAACTAATTTCAGCCCTAACTCAATGAGATACGCTGGTTCAAGACACAAACATTTTGCAACGCTGCATACAGCCCAGCTGACTCGTCAGCCGGTCCCAAACTATGATCAAACCACCCTATTAGCACTGTATTAGCAGTGTGTATGACCACTGACCGTTGAGTATGACCACCGACGTGATTGTGGTGAAGAAGAAGGGTCCCGGCCACCGACTCGAGTCCACCATGGCCAGTATCACGGTGAAGATGAACACCATGGTGATGACGCACAGGCTCCAGATAATCCGCCGGGCCAGCGAGCCTCTGCCGAGAGAAGGTAAGGTCAGAGATGACAGGGAAGGACGAGTTGGGTGAGAGACTGGGCATTGGACAGTACGTGCGGTGGCTAAACAGATACAATGAATAGTGAAATCAGAAGTCACGATTTTCCAGGGGTCGCCAGGTGTGAGTAGAAGCGGCCAGGTGGCATACCATGCTACTAAAGAAATAATATAATGATAATACGGCCCAGTCAGTTGTTACTCAGGCTCGGACATGGTCCTGAAAAACGAGGGCTCTGTTCCAACTCCGTCTCGAAATAGCCAGCTAATGGATTATAAACGGAAACGAAAATGGGGACACTCCCAAATAGCCATCTTAGTTTTGTAAATTACAACGTCAGGTTACGAGATTGTGCTTCACATCATGTTCACTTTTCCAAGAAAAATACACTAATTTCACGTTATGAATCCCATCCATCTCGACATCAAGCTTATTTTGACATGGCTCAGCCACTCGCGGAAAAACAGATCACATTTATAAGCCGTGCGGCTCTCGAATGAGCGGATCACGTGAAATACAGTCCATACAGCTGGGTTCGTTTAAAATAAACACGCCGCTTCGTTAAACGGTGGTCCGTGCCAACCTACACAAACGGCGCCCACGGTCTGAGATTCGGGTCCGGGAAGCACGGCTCTTCGACAGCGAATTAGTCATGAACGAGCCGACAACAGGACCTCAATTCTCGCTGTCAACCTCGCTTTCGGCAGGCATCAGCTAGACGCACCTGTGCGTCAACTATTCCTTTTTCAAGTAACACGGTATAGACACGAAGCAAAGGAAGGAAAAAGGAGAAAACCTGACAGATACATAGAAAGGAAAAGGTGGGCGATAATCTGACAAAGCGCATAACACCGTACGAGAAGTTTTAGACAACACGGCCTACAAAACTGTAGGCAGGACAGCCAGCCAAAACCAGCTCGTAGACGGGCAACGCGAGATAAAAAAGAATGGTAGATAGCCGGACATGGAAGGTGAGATGACCAGACACTAGACAGCATAGAAGGGCGGGAAGACGGGAGAGTAACATGCAACCAGACACTGACGACAGGCTAGCAGAGTGGCGACCAACAGCCAAGGCGATGAACAGTTTCGACCGACCCTTCCGATCAGACAGAACCGAAACGACAGGCACTTAAACAAAACAAGTCAGCAGGCGAGGCGTCGGACAGATGAATGGGCGGAAGTCGCTGACCGGCCGCCGCGCTTCAGAAGCGCCAGAATAGCCATAATTTGGAACGGGATGTAAGTCGTGACGCAAGGGCTGCGGCCACACTTCCTGGGCAGGTGGAATAACTAAAGCAGCGAGTCCTCACAGAGCCAGCCAGACTCTCACCCAGACAGCAGCTGGGACCGGGTTAGAGGAGGGAGGGTGGAGGTCTGCAGAGGGCCTGCTCACTGTCATCTACACAGGCGTGGCTGCCAATGCAATGCAGCCGCAACTTAGCAGTTGGCCAGATGCCGGCTAAAAACATGCGTAAGTTGGATAGGATTTCGGACTGCTCAGAAGTGATATGGTTGGACCTGGAGAGATACCTAGTGCTGCTCCGTGCGTTGTTACGTATTCCCTATCAAACGGACGCACAATTAGTATGCACAGACCAGCTGACTCATCTTCTCAGAACACTATATCAGAAACACATCTATAGCAACGTGCCGAGCGTCAGACAGAGTACCAGGGTACGTCCTCCCATGCTATCAAACCCAATCCACTATCCGGCGCTAACCAATGTTTGCGTTCCCTCAATGACAACACGTCCGCGAAACGCTCAGTGACACTTCCATTTGTCATCGCTACTTCAGACGACGTAACAATAATATACTCGCCGCAGTCACCGATACAGACGAGTGTCATTAATTACATTAAGATCTCATCGCACTCGGTAGGTCAGTCACCACTGTTTGAACATTCTGTAATAGCGGGGAACCCCTCGGAACGGCGCAATGATGCAAATTACAAACCCACACATATGCTTATGGCGCAAAGAGAACGAGGAAATAACACATGTGGGCATGGGGACTCCCACAACAAAATGTCCTTCAGAGGTTCCTCCAAAGTTTATCCATTAACCAACTACTCGTTGGGCCTATCTGAGACCAAAGCGGTTTTCAACTAGCGCTTATGAGACTCAAACAGTTTAAAACAAAAGTATGATAACAAACAAAAGCATCATAAGAGCTTAGGATATCAACACAAGGCTCTGACTCACCCCATCCTGGCGAAGACGTTGATCCAGTTGATCAACACACTGGGGATGTGAGAAGCGAAGCCGACATACGGCAGGAAGTTGGTGGCGTACTCGGAGACGACGCCCGTGTGAGCCTCCGACAGTTTGTAGTTGACGAAGTACTGTCGGGAAAGAGGGAGGCGATGTCAGATACAGGCACATTAGTTATCAGATAATTTAATGGTAGGCCGTATGAGCAAGAGCGGTGCATTGTTTGCCTTATAAGAGACAGTTAGTGAAAGGCAATGAAGACACGGAGATTCGCCGAGACGAAGTGTTTTGATACTTTTGAATGCAATCAATTTCCTCACATACACCCGGTTGAGGAATGCTTTAAAGGGACCCTCCCACCTTCAAAAAAGTTTATGAATTGGCATGAAAGTGATGTCGCTCGGTTCAGAAAGAGCGAAAACGAATATCTACCAAATTTCACCGAAAAATATTCACCGGTTTTCAAGACATTTGACTTTTACTTTTGTTTACTTTTTTGGGATCTCCGCTGTTTCTAGCGACTTTATTTTAGAAGTGCGGCGTTTGCGGCAGATGTTGCGCGCAAATAGCATATACCACCGCGTGCTACAAAACGTTTTAGTCAAACATGTAAAAATCGTTAGATATTTGCGCTGACGTCACACATTCAGAGGGGTATTCCTAAGCATTAGCCCCTCTGAATCAAAATGCTGCAATTTTGAGATTCAATATTTCCGATTTAAGGCATTTCTCGATGTTGTGAGTGCCGAAACCGGTAATTGTGAGCCAGGGACCCCATTTTGGCTATCTCAACTCAAATCTAATGTTAAGGTGGGAGGGTCCCTTTAAAGGGACCCTCCCACCTTCAAAAAAGTTAATGAATTGGCACGAAAGTGATGTCGCTCGGTTCAGAAAGAGCGAAAACGAATATCTACCAAATTTCATCGAAAAATATTCACCGGTTTTCAAGATATTAGACTTTTACTTTTGTTTACTTTTTGGGATCTCCGCTGTTCCTAGCGACTTTATTTGAAAGTGCGGCATTTGTTGCGCGCAAAGCAGCATATCAGTCCCACGCACAAGGGGGAAAAGCTCAAATTATTGAGCGCTCAAAATATTGAGCGTGTGACGTCAGAGGCTCCCATAGGCGTAATGCTGAGGGCTCAAAAAATTGAGCCGTTTCAGGAACACGTTTTGCAAAAGCAACTCGCAACACCTATGGAGAAATGGCAACACCCTAGGAGAATCACTAATGATGCAAAACAGATTAGGCTTTCATATTTTTCACTGCTCAAGCTTCAATGATTGGGGGAACACCAATTTATAGGTCGAAATCTTACGGCATACCAGGATGACTTAAAACAGGCCAATATTTATGTCGAAATAAAAGTTATTTTTTGTCCATTCACGTTTTTTACTAGGGTTCTGTTGGAAAGAGCATTTTTCATACTACCCAAAATGATTGCGATTCAATTTCACATTACCCATATCGGAGAATATTTTTCATTTGGCGGCGCCGTTTGTTTATTTCGTCGCGACGTCTCCGGTCGCGTGGTTGTCGTCGTCCTTGTGTTGAGGGTAAGTTTTTATCGTTTTAGTTGTACTTAGATGTTAAAAGGTACACTGAAAAGTTTGAATATGCTGTGATTTTAAATTTGGAAACACGTAAACGTCAATCAATTCACGTTTTCCTCGATTTGCGTGCAGATAAGTAACTGTCGACGAAAGTGGCGCCATCCGATATGATGTTTTGAAGGAAGGAGACAGAACATATTTACGTGAAAATTTTTGTTTTTTAGTGGTCTAAGTGCTTCAAAGAGGCTGTGAATGTTTTCTTCACACAATTTTTCATTAGTTATGATGAGGTAAAAGGTAGTTTCAGTCTTAACTTTCATATAATTGACATTAAAACATATGATAGTCCACTGCTAATCAGTGATTGAGTACCTTGATATTTGGCATTTCTTATTAATTTGAATGTATTCTCTATCCATATGTCCTGATAGTAAGTGACAATACTCTGCCAATATGTTTCCATAGTTTTCACATTCATTTTCCAGTCCTTTACATAATATCACAATTTATAATCAACAAAACTCAACTCCTTCATTACTTCACAACACTGACAGCATGACAGACTGACAGTCAACTATTGTGTGGGTGAATGCTGAAACAGGATAGCCACTTTGCTGACTGGCTCGCTCATATGCAATAAGATAAAAATGATCCTTTATTTCATTTCCATCTGGAGGATCGGAGTCAACGGAAAAGGAAGGCCACTTTCAAGCCTCAAGGTCTAGGCCGCCAGACGCCAGTCGGCAATCACTACCAAATTTATAATTGATTAGTTCATTATTATACTTTGAGACCCTTAGGTCACTGGATCAGCATCACATTTTCAGTTTCAATATAGTAAAGGTTTTTATTTGTATGATGTGAAATATTTTCCTGAATCAGAATTTAATTATCCCTAGGTACCTGGTAGAGGTTTTGGATTTAATGCTCATTGTTGGTGTGCAGTCAGGATTTTTTGACAGGTCCAGATAGGGAATCCTGAGCAATTTTATAGCAAAGTGGTCTCCTTATAATCACCACACATTTTATCAAAAGCATTTGCAGAATTCATTCAATGAAGAATTTTATCAATGTTGCACCCATTTCTTAGATGACCTAGGCTGCATCTTTTTTTTTTAGTTCCTGTTGTATGACATATTTTCCGTTTTGTTCCACTGCATAAAGAAAAAACTCGTTTGAGATCACCAAACAGCTTTTCTTTTTCTGGCAGGTCTGCACAACCAAGCGGTCGCTGGCGAGGACGTCGGCCGTCTCTGTGGGTAAGGTCATCTGCTCAGCCTTTGTGGAGATCAGCAAGACGTCACTAAGATGAAGACTTCGCTGGAGCAGAAGCCGCTGACCCGTGTCCGATCGGGCAGGTCATGCTCGACGGCACGAGCCACAACTCGAACGACTCGGTGACATCAACAACATGGTGGAGCAGGTGAATGAGTAATCAGGGGCGGATCCAAGGGGGGGTCACATGGGTCATGGCCCCCCCTTGAGGCCCGGGGGCCCAAAGACCTGCCAGGGGCACCACCGGCCTATCAGGGGTATCACAGTCCTGACAGGGGCACCACAGGACCGCCAGGGGCACCACAGGCCTAGCAGGGACACCACGGGCCTGGTGCCCCTGGGCCCTGACAGGACTGTAACGCCCCTGACAAGCCTGAAGTGTCCCCGGTAGGCACGTGGTGCCCCTGACAGGCCTGAGGCGCCCCTGCAAGGGCGGTGGTGCCCCTGGCAGGCCTGTGGTGTCCATGGCAGGCCTGTGGTGCCCTTGCTAGGCCTCTGGTGCCCCTGACAGGCTTGTAATGCCCCTGGAAGGACTGTGGTGCCCCTGGGCCCTGACAAGCCTGAGGTGCCCCTGACAGGCCAGTGGTGCCCTTGCTAGGCCTGTGGTGCCCCTGGCAGGCCTCTGGTGCCCCTGACAGGCTTGCGGTGCCCTTGAAAGGACTGTGGTGTCCCTGGGCCCTGACAAGCCTGAGGTGCCCCTGACAGGCCCGTGGTGCCCTTGTTAGGCCTGTGGTGCCCCTGGCAGGCCTCTGGTGCCCTTGCTAGGCCGCTGGTGCCCCTGGCAGGCCTCTGGTGCCCTTGCTAGGCCGCTGGTACCCCTGCGCCCGGAGAGGACTGGTGCCCCTGAAAAGTCTGAAGTGCCCCTCGGCAGGCCCGTGGTGCCCCTGACAGGCCAATTGTACGCAAGTACAATTGGCCTTGATGGTTGATTGTGGTTGTGGCTAAGAGTTATGATACTGACTAAAAATAAAAAATAAAAAGAAAAAACTGAAAATGGGGGCACCACCAAAATGAAGTGGACGAAATCCGTTGAGTTTTTAATTTTGGGTATAGGTAGGGGCACCACTTCGATTCATGACCCTCCCCTTGGAGTTTTCCTGGATCCGCCCCTGAATGAGTTTGGCGACGTGTTGTGCGACTGCAAGAAGGGTTGTCTGCGTGTTCTGGCCGGCGGAGCGGCGACGCTGCGCAGTCTGTGCTGGCGGTGAGCAGCTGGCCGTGGTGACCGCGCGCGCCCACATGCGCCGACAACCTGTGCGGCTTCGACGGCCCGGGAGGGACAGCCCGATGCCGCCCACTATGCGACGCCGACCGCGCACTGTCCGCACGGCCACATGGAGGTGTGCCCGCGCCTTTTGCCCGCACGCCGCTACCTCGCAGCTGGTCTGCAACCACGCCGTCGCCGCCTGTAGCCCGATAACAAAACGGCTGTCTGATAATGCCGCGTGTTCTTTGTGATGTTGCTACTGTGATCGTTGCTACTGCTGGTCTGAGACTCGATGTTTCCATTCGTCTTTTACATGTTAAGGATTTGATAATGATAAGCTTAGTCCGAGCTTAGGTCGTTTATATCATTTGTTATATGGCATATTTTGGATCAAAGCAGTACGAAACTGCCTCCTGCTTTTGTGATGTATGCTGGCAAGACGCAGGTTCCGGTCGCAGGTCACCCGGACCCGGTTCCAATGTGGTCGGGCTGGCATGCGATAATGTGATGTTGTTTTGCTCGTCTCTGTGTTCCACACTTGATGATGTTTGTGAATCTAACCCACATTGTATAGTATTTTTGTTTGTTAGCGGCCGATGGCCTTGTAAGTTGTAACCGTGGCAATACAGTTTTTCCTGCTATAATTCTCCAATATTCAAGGGTGGGTGGATATCTCTGTATTCACGTATTCCCTTCTCCCAGTACAGTCAGAGAATATCAATTACAGTATTCATACGGATTATTCAAGCCTTATATAATTATTTGAGGTGTGCCGAATCCGAAAGACCGATAAAACTACTAGCGGAAAATGTGACATGATGCCATGGGTTTGTGAAAAGTTTAGGTACCACGTAGCATTCAACTTCCTGCATTTCTGTTTCAACTCAGTTAAACGTATTTCAACGAACATAACATCAAAAATGGCAGCCAGTACCGGCTTCACCTGTCACGGAGAACGCTCAAAAAATTGAGTGTAGATGCTGGCCGGCACTCAATTTTTTGAGCGCCAGCTGACTGTCGTCTGTCGTGGCGCTCAATTTATTGAGTATCGCGGTCCCGAACGACAAGTGGCGCTCAAAAAGTTGAGCGTCTTTAGGGCATTTTCTTTCCAAAAACACCGATATAGATTATCACGGCGAGTGTTCGAGAAGAAACCTTGTTGCTCTCTCTTGCCACTGATACCTTATTTGGATACGATATTTGCCGTAGTGTGACGCTAAAGGCATTGTAAAATACCATCATTTCGCCTATTCCTTCATAATGGGGCCCGCTCAATTTTTTGAGCGCTCAATTTTTTGAGCTTTTCCCCCTTGTGCGTGGGACTGATATACCACCGCGTGCTACCAAACGTTTTAGTAAAAGATTTAAAAATCGTTAGATCTCCGCTGACGTCACAAATTCTAAGGGGGCATACCAATGCACTAGCCCCTTAGAATCCGAAAACTGCAAGTTTGAAATTCCATATCTCCGAATTAAAGCATTTGTCGATGTTGTGAGTGCCCAAACCGGTATTTGCAGGCCATGGCCACCAATTTGGCTATCTCAACTCAAAACTAATGTTAAGGTGGGAGTGTCCCTTTAACAGGAGAGGTCTAAAATTGATTATTAGCTATAGTGATAAAATGAACACAAATTGAGGAAGGAAGGTTGGTGGATAAGACTCGTGATCTTGGGATTGTACAGTATTGTAAGTTTGTGATCGTAGGTTGGTCACAGACGGTTCATAACCGATGGTAGACCCGCAGTCATAAGCAGTGATTGTAAAAGAGTAGGTGCACAGATATGAGTCGACGATTCATGATCGTAGTTCATGAGTCACTGATAAACACCGACGGAATCCTTCCCAGTGACTCCGCACTCCGGTATGCCAGGAACGAAATCCACGGAATGTGTTTTACGGCCCATAATCAGGGACCACTTGACAGAGGACAGAACCTGACAGATGGCACCTGTGGCAGCTGACAGGTGACACAGCTGACAGATGACACTGAGCACAGGTGACAGAGGCACGGAACAAGTGACAGATGACGTAGTTGACAGCTGAGAGAGTAGGCATTGTCATCCCTGACAGTTGTTCCTGCCTCAAATGACACCCATAAGTGACATATTGTAGAGGAGAACGACCGACGCCTCTACTCTTCAGTCTTGAGTGCCGACAACAACCCGGAAGTGTAAGACCGCTCCACTAGTCGAGGGTGCCCAGATTGAGCCCAAACTGCTCTTCAAGCTCCATGCGGGCGGGCGGGCAATGACATGGCATTGTTCTCTTCCGTCGGGCCAGAGGTCATTTGAACAATTCATGGCGGACAATGCCGCCTATTTCTGGAACGATGTCTAAATGACCTGGTGACCTCTGCCCAGATCGATACCCACATTCCATTGTGCTGGCCCAATCACTTGACTTTAAGCTCAGCTTCACAGACTAAACATTGCGCAAGTATGAAACAAACAGCCAGTGTTTCCTCCTCAAACGAACTGTGTTTGTGAGTCATGTTGACGCGACGATAACCCATTTGGGCATCACACTGGACAGGCGTTTAACCTTCAGCAAACATGTCGAGGAAACCACGGCCCGTTGCTTGCGATCACTCGGCGCCCTGAAAACCGCACAGAGGAAAGGTTTAAACCAGCAGCGCATGTTCACATTGTATCGATCCCTTATCTTCAGTCGGCTCTCATACGGCGGAGAGGTTGTGGCCGCCTGTCCCACCACATTGGAAAAGTTGGATCGCGTCCAGACGTCGGCCCTGCGCATCATCACCGGATGCACCCGCGACACGTCACGCACGGCTTTGCGCTACATGCTAGGCGTCTCTTCGGTTCCTGAGCAGCTCCAGGTCCAGCGCGTCTACGCCGTTGCAAGAGCCGGCGAAGAGACATCTCATCCTCTCTGCGCCACCGTCAGGTCGCTGACTCGCAGGGCCCCTCTGCGCCGACTCGCCAGACCGGGGTGGGTGAGGCAGGCCTGCGACACCGTGCGAGAACTGCGCGGCAGGAACCAGCTCCGTGACCGGCCTCAATTCATGCGGACACCTTCTGACGTCGCCAGCCGATGGACTGTCATCTGCAAGCACTCATTGAGTCGATCATGTCGTGACTGGGCTCCAGGCGTGGCGAACGCGGAATTCGAATCTCTGTTGGAATCGCTCGTCGATCAGCATCAGACACCGCTAATTCTGGCTACCGATGGCTCTGTGACCAGCGAACCGGCCCGAACAGGCTGGGGATCCTTCCTGCGCTCTGATGAGCACACCCGTTGCTCATCCGGTGCCTGCGGACTCGTCCTCTCAAGCATGCGTGCCGAACTGGAGGCTGTGACTCTCGGTTTGACCGAGTCCCAGGAGTTCCTACGCGACGCGGACCTGTTAGTCATCGCTACCGACTCACAGTCGCTACTGAGTAGACTGGAAGCCGGCTGGTCTCCTCCTGAATGGTGGGTCATGGCTGGGGGCGAGACGGTCTGGTTTTACTGCCCCGGCCACGCCGGCATCGACCTGAACGAAACGGCTGATCGACTGGCAGCGCGCGCAAGCAGAATGAGTAGTCGAATCACTCTCTCAGCTTCTGACGTCAGACACCTGCTAATGCAAAGACACAGAGAGGTCAATCAACTCGAGAGCCACGGAAGCACAGAGGTCGAAAGGATGCATGGAAGAGGGCTGGAGCGAGGATGGGCGCGAGGCTCTCGCCGCTCAGGAGCGACTGGAAGGCTGGCGTGTCAGCTGGCTTGTGGGACCATCTCCAGGAGGACGCTGGCTGACATCAGCGGGACGGGGGATGCTGAGACGACATGGGCGCGGTGCTTCGGGTCCCGTTCGTCCACGAAGCTGCCGCCGAGGAAGTAAGTAAGTAAGTAAGTGTGAGTCATTATTTGCCGATTTACAAACCGTACCTCTCGCCCACCCCGCTCTGCGTGCGTGCTCCACTCCCCAGCCAAGCCCATGCGTCACTCGGCACAACAAATTGTCGCGGCTCGCGCCGGTGCTAGACGGAGCACCTGCGAGCCCCACCCCCCGACCCCGATCTGACTGTCTGCCAACCAAAGCACAGCCGAGCGCGAGGTATATGAATCAGTTCCGCCGCGGATCTCACCGGCCCGGAGCGACTCCACATATCATCACAGGGATGATATACTCCCAGCAGTCTGTATCACTGACCCGGCAGTCTGCTAGTCTCACGGAGTCAACACAAACCCGTACAGTCTCCATTGAGCGATATCTGCGTTTCCCGTCGGACCCTCTTTCCGAGTTTGAGCCAATTTCCGCACACCTCAGAGGAGCGACGCTCCTAAGCGAGGCGATCCGACAGCTAAGGCGGCCCATCTGTCTCCCAGCCCGGTCGGTCAGCTGGCAACAAGTGCCGTCTCTAGCTGCCGCGACCAGGTCAGTCGCCTCTGAGTCCAGCCGTAACAGAGTGTCCGCGCCCGCCGGCCGCAGCTGCTGAATAAATAAGTAGCGAGATGATTGCTGATTGCATCAAAAGCAGAGTACGGCGTACGTACGAGCCAACACCAGCGCCTTGGAAGCTCAGCTGTACGAGCAGCTCGGCAGTCGGCACTTGTCTGAGCCAACCTGAGTGGGATGCACGGCACACGAAGGACTCAACAACACACAGAAGAGAATGACGTTTGCTCTGAAAGGCTCACATAAGTGTCTCAAATGCAGAAATGTTGTGTCTCTTCAAAGACAAGATTCGTCAAATATTTTGGAAGCAAACCGAAGCAACAATGGAAGCGGCAAGCTCAACTGCTTACCTTAGGCTGTTTTGAGCACACATTTCTACATGGGGTGGCCAGACATTCGAGGATTAAAAGAAAGTACGAGCCAATAATCAAACATTCTGGCCTTCAATGTGAATATTTAACAACAGCTGAAAATACTGACGCTCCTAAATACTGGCCCTACCAAGAAAAGCCTGTAGCAATCAACATCCTGTAAACAGTTCCAGAATTCCAACAACACAGGGAAGTCGGCAGGGCAAACGTTGACATAAATTACAAACCAGGTGATTGTAATTCAGCCGTTATATGTAATCAGAGATTGCTATGGGTCGACTGAATAAAGCCCGGGCACTGAGATGATATATTGGCAATGTGCCTGCTGGTAGGTCCCCAGACCGCCAACGGAGTCCGCCAAGCAACATCTTGGTGAATGAGGAGGTAATATTGAGAACGGATACCTCTGATAGAATGTGCGAAATATAATACGAGCTGTAGCTGGTGGCATGTATTGTGTACTTACTTCCCCTCCCACTGATCATGAGTGGCTAAGGCACTGACAAGTGACAATCTAAGATACCGACAATCGCCCGAGAGCCTGCACAATCAGTCAAAGAGGTAGCTTCGCCGGAGCGCACGGCGTCATGTTCAGTCACTTACGTCTTTGGCCGTGATAAACATGTTCCATGGCATCAGCGTGCCAATGCCGTGCAGAACGAACACCAGGTAGATCAGCGAACATCTGTGAACAGAGAGCACCAATTAGAACAGGCAAGGTCGAACAGTGAACACAGGCGTAAAAAGTGAACACCAGAGCAGCAGCAAGGCAAGGTCGATTGGGGATAAATTCGCCCATCCGCGGAATCTAAGAGCGCTGTCGAAGAAAGCTGTCGGAGGCAACAACACGAGGGAACCAATGCTATTCATTTGCCAGGAAAGAATGTGGTCCGTTGAGAGACGCAGCGAGCTGGGGTAACTGAAATTTGTCACGGGTTGGATAACTTTCCTCGCCGAGGAACATTAGTTACACGAGACGTCCTCGTTCAGAAAAAAATCGTTGAACAGATGTCAAAGTGAATGTCAAAAGTAGCAAAACACGCCCTTTTCGACAGGTGAGCAAGACAGATACATAAGTCAAAGAAGCAAAGCTCAACACGTAAACATCGGACACCTCGTGTTGCACCAGTGTCCAGTAGCAGTAGCATTGCACGCGTTGTAACGTATCCTCAACAGACACGGTGGATGGTTACAGCCAAAACACTGAGCAGCAGCGTACAGGCTACGACAAAACACCGACGCATGGCCAATGTCATCAGGTGTTCATCCTAAAAAGGACACTAGCTGCAGAGGCGAGCCATCGGTATGTACATTTACGGGAGCTCGAGGCTCCAAGTTCATTCATACACAAGTCACGTGTGCATACGACTCCAAAGTAAGGTACTGGAGCTGGAGCCAAAGCAGTGCCTGTCAAACACCGAACATCGGCACCTCGTATTCACCACCCGTATAAACTCTGCACTGCCCCAGGGATCAGCCATCAGGGGCACAGACTGAGCTCGAAAACCGGACACGTCCCGGTCAAACAGGGCCCGCCGGCCGCGGTCGGGTCTATAAATACACAACTCGGCTGTGGGTGCGGCAGCGCCGGTCAAAACAGTGGCTCATCCGGCCCGGCCGAGCCGATCCGGCCGAAAGCAGACCGAGCTCGACATTAGACGGCGAGTTTGAGAGCCATACATACTCGCCATTAGCAGGCGATAAGACACGGCTATTGGGTTGTGTCGTATGAAGCTACGACAAAAGTTTGGTCACAGTGTGCTTCAACGGTTATGGTTAGCCTTGTTGCAGCCCAACCACGTGGTTCCTAATTTCGCCCTATTTCACACGCAGGCAGGAATCTTTTGGGCGCCCGGTGGCACCGTGTCGTCCAGTTTAAACACGATTGCACTATCTCCTGGCCCACGCTGCTCTGCAGGGCTCAAAATCCGGCTGCCGGTGAGCAAACTACGTTTATCGCTGTTCCGCCGATCAATACAGCGTGCAGGCAGGCCGGCCTGCAGGGCCATTTTATCACATTTATTACCGGGATAACACACCTTGCTGTCCCACAGCGGTGGTGCCGTATGCTAGAGCACCGGTCCAGCGCGGGACCCGGTGAACACGACGGTCCCACCAAATCTACTTTATGTGCCTTATCCTACACAGCGCCGCAGGTTGACGTGACTGCGAGTCGTTCCACGGCTCAACTGCAGGTAGAAATTAGCCCCGGGGGTTAGTTGGAGCCAACGACACCAGCCCATGCGGCTTTATTGAGCCGTGCAGGACACACACCTTGATGACGTCATGTTGATGTGGCGCCGCACATGGTCCGAGCATGACGTCATCGGGGCTGCCAAATTGCGGGGGCTGCTTCAGACATTGGCGAAGCATTAAGTCACGGCTGCATGGACACGCCGACGGCCGCCTAGGTAGGGTGCGGTGGTTCAGACTTCAGGATGTCAAACCAATGGACTTGACTATGAACATAAACAGATCGCCAAGCACCAAAATAACGTATCGTGAGTATGCCACGTGAATAGCATTGAACAGAGAACTGACTAAATGTTATTCCTCTGAAGCTCCCAGCACGTTATCCAGACATCCCCAGAAGCCCCAGACAGTTCACTGACCTCCCGCTCACGCATATGGTCCCATTAGCATCGAACCAGCCCCGGGCGAGACGGGCGGCCCAGGCCTGCTCGCACACAGGTGCGCAGCCCACGCACACATTATACACCGGCGCCGGTCGCCGCCGCCGCCCAGCGCTGTCCCGGCACCGCCCTGTCGGCGCAGATGGCATCTCTTCTGGGAGCCCTTTTGTCCTAACCACCTGCCCGCTATGTTGTTGTCAAATAACAACTGTTAAGTGACTGAGGGTATAGACCGGTAACCGACTGACCCCCTTCCCTAGCATCCTACCAACGGTATTCGTTACGGGACGCGTCACGATTCGGGAAGTCACGAAGAGCGCGCGTCACGCGTAACGACCCCGTACCCTCGCATGTGATAGCTCCCGCCCTAACATAAGCGCAGAGGGCTCCAACGAGCTGGGAAACTGAACTAGCGCAACCATACCCTTACACACTAACACTCAGCAAGCTCAGCTGACACCGTAAATCCTTATCAACACAAACACGACGTAGTTCGCATTTTTGTGAGCTTGTTATCTCGCCGTAAATTGGGCAATCGTGGCCTAACTATCGCCTCTCGGGCTGCCAGCTAGCTTTTATGACTCCTAACTAGGCTGGAAAACGGGTCGACTAACCGGTCATACGCTGCGCGTACGATCCGTTACAATTCGGGTAAATATTTACACTCGGCTCGCAACATCGCCGCTGGTATCTGTTGCCGAGTGCCACCGGAGTCGAGGATTGCGGGCGAATTCCCTCCGCAACGACCACCCAGGTCATCGACGTGTTAGGGATTCCTTTGGAATTGGTACTTCAGTCTGGTATCTTGACCCTCATCAGTGTTGAGTGGAGGATATCAGGACACGATAAAAAAAAAACAATCACCATTCAAGGGTCAAAACACCGAAGATCAAAATACTCCTTTCTGAATTATTCGAGCAAGGGCAACTCCCCATCCGTGACGAAAAATCACAGGTATTTCCCCAAACGAACAGTAAACCTCAAATTGCACAAACATCTACCCAAGAGTTCTTGCCAGAGATCACAAACACCCTTAGCTCTAACGGCTCTAATGAAAGTGTTCAAGGGGCCGACTCATGCTGCGCCCTTCCCCGTCCCACATCATGCAGCCCTGGCTCTGTGTTTGTTTGCAGGCCATTGCAGACGCCTGCCGACGGCACTGGTTGTTAGCGGCGTCTGCCGGGCCATGTGGTGGGACTGGTCCAGAGCACAGTGCTGTGTCGACCTCCTGGCAGGGTCATGACGCCATCAGAGGCATAACAACTGACCGTCGTCTTTGCAGTGGGGCAGAGCTCGGTGGCTCGGTGAAGGGATGGTCTCGGGAGGTCACGGCAGGTGACGCGTTAGAGATCATCAGGAATTGCAGTCCAATAAGCCAAACGGTGCTCCTGTCAGATAGGAAATAATAGGTATGCAACCAACATATAGTCTGGTTACTTCGTCTTTCGTTACACATGGGTACGAAAATTTGCAATAAGCATGCCACAAAAGGCAGGGTACAGCTTACCACTACTGAGGACACAAGTCACGACCACTACTAGTGTGTTATAAATAACCAAAGTCTAAATCGGTAGAACATGTTCGTCCAGGCATGCCCAATGCAATACGCCAATATCAGTCGGTTCTCCTTTAACCTGTCCCCGAACCCGCCATCCATCCATCCATCCAGCTCGGGCCACTCGGGACCGCTCGGGTCGTCCCGTGCCGCTCGGGGTCGAGCGGTGAGTGTGGATCTTGGCAGGCACTCCCCGGCCACCGAGAACACTCACTCTCGTCTCTCACTCCGGAGTGTCACTCGGCGCCGCTGTCGACAGCCGCTCTGCCACCGTCCTGTCAGTGCTGCTAGCGGGGGTCCAGCCGGGGGGAGGGGGGGGGGGTCTGGATATCTACCAGACCCCCCCCCCCCCCGCCGCCTGTGACTGTACAGAATCTAGCATCCACCAGCCACCGGGCCCGCTACACTTTGTAGAGCCGCTTTGTCGAAAGGTTTGAACACCAAACAACTGACAGATGTCGATATGGGCGTGGTTTTATCCATTAATCCTCCTCAACCACTAGCCGTCATTCATCGCACGCCAAACTGGTGAAGACTAACCTCTCTACGCCTACTGCGAGGCCTAAATACACACCCGCCCGGCCTGATGGATAGCTTATTGAACCTGTCATAGGACCACCAGGGACGAATCGCCTACACGATACCACAGCACATTTATCGAAAGCGTGTCTTCTTACGCCAAACGAGGCCATCCGTAATGCAATAGCCATGTGGTGACCCATTGATACCCCGCAAAGCTCCCACTACCATGCCATGAACATGGTAATACGATTACCGCCAAACACTCCGGGTATGTGGCAGAGAGGTGACCCGGCCAGCCATTTACCGCCCCGCTGAGACCGAGAGACGCCCGACGGGTCGCTCACGGCACCCCATTAGACGCCAGCGGTGCCGATGGAGCACCCGGCGCGCGAGACACCGCGACCTCAGTGTGCAGGCGGGGCGGACGGAGGGGCAGCTGGGGCATTCTCAGCTCGTTGGTCACGGCTGGCTCGACCGACACGCCCGGCTCCCTCGGGGTGGAATGTCAGGAATGAAAATATGCCGACCCTCAGCTCAGACCCTCAGATTTCCAACCGGGAACGGTGTGGCAGTCACTGCTCAGAAGTCAGAGACACCGGTAGTAAAGGAGTTTGCCTGGCCACTGCATAATCGGCCTGATTGTTCGCTGCGAGACTAGTCCACTCTCATCCACAAGTGTCTTACAGCACATATTTCGTGACGGCATCACCCGTCACATATCCAGTGCTGCGAGGACCAGATACGACCCACTCGACCGCCCTCTCCATCATAAGTCTCGAGGCCTCCGCCCTGTGTCTGCAATCTGCCGTGCAGCTGACGGGCCACCTGATAAGGTGTGGGCACGCACGCAGGCGGCATACATTACCGACGACAGCCGGCACGGGCGGGACCAGCACTCTTGGCCACTTGTCTGGTCAGCACGCTGTCTGCTCTCCAGCGAGTCTGTTGACTGTGGGGTGGGTAGAGATGACCGCC